ACAAGGCCTGTCAGGAGTGACACAGGGGCCTATCATTTACTCACCTCTCCTCCCTTCCTCACTCTCCCGCAGGAGGCATCCCAGCAGGGGCTGCTGCTGGTCTGAAGGCTCTTAAAGCAGGTGAGGCTCAGGTGCCAGATGCCAGACTTGATGTGCCTGGCCAGAGTCATGTGATGAAGGGCTCAAGAAATATGCTACAGGCTGGGATGCCACCCTCCAGCAGAGACAGGGTGGGCTCAGAGGCCAGTGGAAGACTTCCCTTCAGAAACACTCTCCAGGGCTTTGGCTTAGCTTGTGTTACCTGACTCAAGCAGAGGGGTTCCTTGCCCTTACTGGATGTACCTTTTCCCTTGAGCCCTTGTGGAAGCTATTGCTGCCCTGCTCACCATCTGCCCTGTGCCAGGCACAGCCAGCTCCCATTATGCCTCCTCCCTGACTCAGGGGTGATGGCTCTCCTGCTCTCCCTCCTCTCCCCAACATCTTCCCTATGCTGTCTCCCGGTACTGGGGCAGGAATGGGCCTGTGGAGGAGTTAGCTCAGATCTCTGCATTGCTCCAGGGCAGCTGGGGTGGGTGTGGGAAGGGACTCACCCTGCAGCCAAGGTGCTAGGTGTGGCCACTGGAAAGTGACAGCTTTTCCCCTGCAGGTGTTGGGTTCCGTGGCTATGGAGTTCCAGGGGGAGCTGGCAGAGGACTCAATGGGCTAGGAACTGGTGAGTGAAGTTGTTGCCATGAGCAACCTCATTTCAAACACAAGGGGAAGTTCTGCCCCTTTCCATGAAAGCTGCTGCCCCCAACCCCTCCCCTGTGAAGGGGGGTAGCTCTCCCTGAGCCCCTTTGATCCCACACAGGAGGGCATCCCTCCTGTCTCCTCAGTTCATGTGCAAGGAGGGCACTGTCCCAGAATCTGGGGTGTTTGGTTATGTGAACTATCCTTGCTGGAGAAGCCTGCCAGACCAGGTGGCAGATGGTTGGACTGGCTGACTCTCCCATTCTCAGACTGAGAGCAGTGAGTCCCCCTGGTGCCATCAGGGCAGCTCCCAGTACCACAGGGTGCCCCTTCTGCCAAGGAGCTCTGAGCCACAGCATGGGCTGCTGCAGGCTTCCCCCCAGTGCTGCCTGTTGCTGGCCAGGCACTGTTAGCATTTGCTTCATGCTGAAGATGTGACTGTTCTGTGACA